GGTAGAGGATTTTGATACAAGAAGATAGCTATAATAGCGAGCAAGAGGATAATTCTGGGCATGAGCAAGAGGGTCAATCTGCAGAGGAGAGCAATTCTCAAGTGGAGTCGGAAGATCATCAAACATATATAAATTATTACCTCGGAAAAGACCGTCACACGAGGTGGAACAAAACTCCTGCTTCAAATCCAGTAAGAAGACGTGCTAGGAACATCGTTACTCAACTTCCAGGTGCTAAAGGTGGAGCTAAGTGATTGAAAGAACCCGGTGAGATATGGAGGTTATTTTTCACGGAGGATGTTATTGGTCGGATGGCAAAGTACACTAACGAACAAATAAAACGAATTTCATCTCAATTCATAAGAGAAAGAGACTGTACTGAAACAAATGAGATAGAACTTGAAGCACTCTTAGGTCTCTTACACTTTGCTGGCGTTAGAAAAAATTGTCGACTGAATGCTAAAGATTTATTCAAGACTGATGGCTCGTCACCAGAGATATTCCGATTGACCATGTCCTGGAACCGTTTTTATTTACTGTTACGGTGTATTAGGTTTGACGACAAAGACACACGAGTTGTACGTGCTTCTGTTGATAAACTAGCACCCATCAGAGAGCTTTTCGAAGAAATTATAGCTGGATTTAAAAAATATTACAGTTTGTCTCAGTTCGTCACAATTGACGAAAAACTAGAAGCATTTAGAGGTCGTTGTAACTTGTAGTGTTATGCTACTTACATATCATTTTACATTATTTTAAATTCATTTTTCCATTCTGTTTCGATTTTCTGCATTCACTTCAAAACTGGATATTTTACATCACCTTTATTTCCATAGGATCCTATAACGATTTTAAACCATAAGAACACAATAACAAATCATTTCTACTTCGTATTTTCACATTATCAGCACTTTTAAATTGGTGTCAATGGAGTCTACCTTTTTTCGATCTTTTAGCTAGTTTTCCGTAACTCTACAATCTCGGGCTTTGTGTGGGCAGCTGCGCTACTTTTTTTCCTATATCAATAATATCTCATTTTCCACTTAAATCTTACCGTTTTCTTATTATAAACCTAAAACCAAAATTTGACATGTTTTGATATTGTTATTTATTTCGTTTCCATAGTAATTATATTCAAATTTGCTACCGATCTGTTGTTCCTATTTCGATAATTCCACACTCTTTTCTCTTGACCATTTAAAAAAAATTTGCGTTTAATTTAAATAATTTTTCCGTTCTCTCTAGAAAGGTATAAAAGCCGAACAATCGGTGAAGAAAGGCAGTCTCGCTTCAGTTCGCGAATTGGAAGTATCTCCTAAAGGCCTTATCCTGCAAGCCTCCACCTATACGTGAAGTCTTCGGCGAAGCCTTCTTCAAGCGCGGAGCCGCACCACTCCGGAATCCTACAAGCCTCCATCTACCTCGGAAGTCGTCGGCAGTCTACTTCAAGCGCGGGGGCCACACTACTCCGGGCGCTACGACTGCTTACTCCAGGCGCCGAGTGCACCTACCGCCGGCGCTTCCTTTGGGCGCTGCAACTGCTGGCTCTAAGCGTTGAGCGCCCCTTCTCCAGGCGCTACGTACGCCGGCTCCGGACGCTGCGTGTGCTGGCTCCAGGCGCTGCGCGCCGTCGCTGCTAAGAAACCTACCTCTACAAGCGCAACCGGCGTGTGCTGGCTTCAGGCGCTGCGTGCCGTCGCTGCTAAGAAACCTACCTCTACAATCGCAACGTGTGTCGCTTCGACTTTTAGGCTCCACTACAACTCTATATTCCCCTATTCTCCTACCTTTATTTTTTTTTGTAATCTAATTGTACTCTCACTTCATTCATCATCATCCTCATTTCATTTTTTTTTATAAAATTGTAAATACCTTTTAAAAATTTAAATATATTGTTTTCTGGCTCTACTTTTGTTGTTTTGTTGTACTTAGGTTAGGTTCTATTTTTTTTAATTGTCGCTTCACGACAAACTTTAGGCAATATATTCCATCGAAACCCAATAAATACGGTATAAAAATCTACGCCCTGACTGATGCCAAAATGTTTCATACCCAAAATATGGAAGTATACGTTGGACAACAGCCTGCAGGCGCATATACTCGTAGACTTGATAACTCGTCAATGGCTTTGGTTTTGCGACTCAGTGAAGGTATCTATAATACTGGCCGTAACATCACATGTGATGTGATAATTTCTTTACCAGTATTCCCTTGATAGATAAACTTGAGTCACAGAAGTTGACCATAATCGGCACACTTCGCAAAAATAAAAGGGAACTGCCCAAACAGTTTACGGAGATAAGAGGCCGAGAAGAAAAATCCAGCTTATTTGGGCACCGAGGCCATTGTACACTTGTATCTTATGTGCCCAAAAAGGGCAAATGTTTTACTTGTGTCGAGCATGCATGATGATGCTAAAATCGACGTCGAAACCGGTAAACCTGAATTGATAATGGACTACAATGCGACAAAAGGTGGAGTTGATACTGTCGACAAAATTTGCGAAACCTATAACGTTGCACGAGGCACAAACAGGTGGCCCATGGTAATTTTCTACAGTTTGATGAATGTAACGGGTATAAATTCGTATGTTTTATACCTGCAAAACAATCCCAATAAGAAAGTCAACCGTAGAACTTTTCTGGAAGCTTTGTCCTATGACCTCATAAATTCGCATCTCAGGAGACGGGCGGCCAACACGTCATTGCCAAAAACTCTAAAGTTACGGCTCAATGAAATATGTAAATTAGATGGTCCTGAGTCTGCAGCAACATCTAATAACAATAAAATCGGCCGTTGTGCATTTTGCACGTCAAAAAAGAACCGTAACGCGTTATAACTGCGTAAAATGTAAAATTTATTTTTGTATGGAACACGCGCTTATGGTATGCTCTGACTGCTATAGTGAGACTTCTGCCTAAGAATAGTTATAAGTTTAATGTTAATTTACTTGTTATAATTAAGATTAAAGTTTGTTTTAGTTTATTATAAGAAGAAAAAATATTTTTGTTACATTTTTATTAGTTCATATGAAAAACTTATTATTTTCCAGAGAATGTAATAAAAGACTGTTCGTCAGTAAATAAATGATATGATGTCGATAAATTGTTTTTTTTTTATTTTACTAACCTGATACTCCCTAGTTTTAGGAAAACGTAATTTCATTATACGTTTTCTTGAAAAAATACCATGAAATTGGGTTCCGAACTTTCGGTCTATGAGACCGTGTGCGGGTATAGGTGTCACAATATTTGGCGCGGGTATAGAAAGGTTAATAACTAGATTTATAAACTTCCACAACCCTACAGTGACACAGTGAACCCTACAGTGAGAGCGTGGTGGAGAGGGCGCTGCATGGCCTGTGTAAACATCGTCTGTGTTTAAAAATTCAGTAAAATGTTATTTTTAAAAAATTGTGTATTTTTACGTTTGTGTTCTTTGTGTATATGTGGACTATAACTGTGTTATCTCAATAGTACGAGACTTAATTATACCACAATAATATGCAATAAGTGTACCTACGGTGATTATACGATAAATTTAAAAAATATAGTATAAAAGCTCAATAAAATAGTGCAAAAACATTGTGTGACTAGTGTTTCAAACAAGTAACATTTAAATCTTAAAGACATTAATAAATAAGTGAAAATAAACAAAAAAACTTTTAAAAGTGGCGGTTGAATAATTCAAATTGATTAGAGTGCTAAAATTGCTATCATTTATTGCAATAGCGACATCTATTGACAAAGTTATGTACTATTGACTCTTACAACATAGTTATACAGCTTTACTGACTGCAATATAGAGGGCGTTTAAAAAAATGGATACTAACTCTGCATCTAAAGAGAAATATTGTTTCAAATGTAATAAAATAATTAAAGGTGTGAATTATTTCAAATGTAATATATGTAATAAATTGTATGAGCCAGACTGTACCAATGTCTCTTTCAAAAGATTTAACATTATGTCTAAGAAAAGAAAACAGAAATGAAGATGTATTAATTGCGATCACGGAAAACAAAATAGCAGTACAATTATTTCACCTATGGGTTCTATAAAGTTAAACAGACAAGATCAACAAATTACCGACAACAATACTGATGAGCATAAATATGAAAAAAATGTGACACTAAGAACTAAAAAAAATAATTTACATAAAACATGTACGAGCTCACACATGAATACCTTGTTGACTTCATCTGATTCGGAATATGACATAAAGAGTTTACCTGATATTTCAACCCCATTCAATTTCGAACTGGAAATCATAAAGGAAGAACTGGAAAGAACTAAAAGCTTACTCGCTAGCGCTAATTCGGAAATAGAGAATCTATTGCTTAAAAAAAGAATATGGAACATGAAAAGACGATTTTTCAGCTAAGAGATACATGTAATAATCTTTTTTACGGGTCTCAAAAATCGGTGAATTTGGTACAGAAAAAGAAAAATAGGAGTAGGGGAGAGCGGGGCTAAAAGTTACCGGGGTAAATTGTTCCGATTGGAATAGCTCCGCGAGAAAAAGAGATAAAAATATGTAGTAAATTCGTCGTGAAATTGACCGTTGCAGCGCACGAACGGCAGCCATCTTAAGTTGGCCAGTAGCGTCCGGTATATGGGAAAGTGAGTTCATGCGTCACTGATCCGTGTAAGTAAATATTTTCATTTTTAATATATTTTTTTTATTATGGTCAATTATTATGGTCAATCTCACGAATTGTAATAAGTAGCTTTTAATTCTTTGGTGTTTTAATACAAAAATATATCGAGTATCTTGATATACGACGCTAAAACTGCGTATGTTTCGTAACCTAACCTATTATTTACTTTTTGGAGGCCATGTGTTATTGGGGTTAAAAGTTCCTTTCTTTTGGGGCACGTTGTGATCTCGGAACAACTTACCCCAGTACCAGTAATGAAGTAAAAATATTGTTTTCTTTTCCTTTTGTAGCATGCGGACTTACACTCGGAAAACAACACGAGGTTCTGTATCTCAGGAGTTAATGCAAAGAGCGGCAGATGCAGTCATCAAAGATGGAAGAAAAATAAAAACTGTTGCTAAGGAATTAGATATTTGTCATATGACATTATACAGGTTTATTAAAAAGCTAAAATCTGGAGTCGAAAACGTTACGGTTGGCTACAAAAAAGTAAGATTGGTCTTTAGTGAAGAACAGAAAAATATATTAGCAGAGTATCTGTTGAAATGTGCTGCAATCTTCTTCGGTCTTTTACCAGAAGAAGTACGAAAATTAGCATCCGAATGTGCACAAAAATTTAACACACCTAATATTCCGTTATCTTGGTATAAGAATAAAAAAGCTGGGCCAGATTGGCTTACTGGTTTCTTAACCCTTAAATGCATATTGTTGCCAATTGTCTACATTTATTTTCACGTTATTTTATTCAAAAACTTCGAGTCCCTGCGTTTCCGAACGCTCGTAAATGACCATAGACATTAAATCATTATTGAAAGAAAAAAGTTGACATTACATTTGGCGGGTAAGTTACTCGTTTTTTGACATTTGAATGTGGTGGGTGATGAAGTTCAGTGTGTTACTAGAAGACATAGTTTCTACTGTCGAGTTCCTAATAAAAAAGTGATTCTTCTTATTAAAAAAAATTACTTCTAATTTGTTATCAGGTAAGCTATCAATGTTTGATGTTGTATTTGAAAGTTATATTAGATACAAGACAGATTTTTGGAAATTAATGTATGTTGCCAAATGTCTACATTATGCGTTTGTTTCATAAATAGTTATAAGCGAGTGTTTTTGGTGTCTGGGTCTTTTAACATAGTTTGCTTTGCTTTATAGGATGTCTAGACGGCTAAAAGATGACGATATTGAGGATTTACTTGCACGAATAGAAAATGGAGACATTTCTGAAGACGAAGAGGATATGGGTGATATGAACGAAATTGATTATCACCCGGACCTACAAGATCTAATAAGCGAATTAGAGGACAATAATGATGACGATGAAGAAGACAATGAAAATCCACCTTCGAACATGGAAGAAGGATGGTTGGATCACTTCAATAGTCCAGCTCCAGGACCTTCGAATTGTCAACCACATTTAAGCCTTCTTGGTGTTGCAGCGTGGAGGCAACGAAGTAGAGAACTTATATGGAAAAAGCGTAATTTGCAATACAGTGAAAAACGTATACGTTTCACAGGAAATACAGACCTTTCCCCTCCACTAGCCGCGCTTGAAACACCATTCCAATTTTTCTCCGAATTTATGAATGAAGATATACTCACTGTTATTGTGGAACAAACAAATTTATACATCACGCAAATAAATGTATCCAACTGTCCTCCTGTAATTTCAGATTAGAAAATTAAAAAATAGGAATACAGTTATGGCTAATGCATTATTTGACCTTAGTAAGAAACACGGAGTGGTTATTACCCAGAAATATCTGGAGCCGGGCCATACGCAGATGGAGTGCGACTCCGTCCACCGTAATATTGAATAATACTCAAGAAGTTAAGGAGTTGTTAGCACTTCCCCGTCGATATGGCCTTAAAAATAACTTAACAGGGACTGATTGGGCACGTAATTTTCTTATAAGACACAAATCAGCAATTTTAAAACACAAGGCTTCTTATAATACTTCTACTGATAGAGCCAAAATTACAAGTGACGTAATTGATAGTTTTTTTTCGAAAATTATGTGATGTCTGTCGAAGATGCACTCCAGACTGAATTATCAACTATGATGGGACAAACCTCACAGATGATGTATGTTGTATTAATATTAATGTATGTTGTAAGAACTATATTTATAAAAGAGGCACAAAGTACCCAGAAAGAGTGGCAAGCAATTCGAAAACAGCAATTTCACTCATGTTTACGGGTACGGCAGACGGTGAGTTGTTACCAATATGTGGTATATAAATCGTATCATATATGGGGTACTTCGACGTGAAGTGTGGACGAGGTACAATCGATCAAACATGATCTGTTGTCTCATTATATTCGGAAAACGTACTGAGGACTTGTGAAGAATTGAATATTGCATTTGTGTACTTACCACCGAAAACTACACATCTGCTTTAGCCATGAGATGTCGCAATTTTCGCTTCGCTAGACCTACTGGCGAGATGTGTTAACTCAATGGAAGTTAAAGGAAGGGCGGAACTATTACTGAAAACGCTAAACTTGTGAGAAGGAAAATATGAATTGATTTTTCCGAAAGATTGCTGCATCCACGGATGTTAAAAAGACGTCAGTTCACAAAATTATTCGAAAACAATTTAAGTTCCATATAAGCTCCAAATCATCCAGCAATTGAAAGATGACATGATGATGAAGAAAGACAGATTTATGCTAAAGACGTTCTTGAAAGATTTTCTACGCCTACACGTTTATGTAACATGTTTTTAGTGACGAGGCGCATTTTCACATTGGCGGGTATGTCAATAAACAGAATAAGTGTTACTGGAGTGCGATCAATCCAAAAGAAGTCCATGAAAAGCCTTTGCACAGCCCGAAGACAACAGTTTGGTGCACCATTTCTATCAATGGCTTTATTGGCCCTTATTTTTACGGCAAAGGTGAAACAATTAATGCACAACGATACCGCGCGATGCTGGACACTTTTTTATACCGGAGCTGCATCGTCATGTCGGACTGTAAAAGGACTTATTTTCAGCAGGATGGCGCGACGACACACACCACTAGGGACTCAATCACTAAAGGGAGAGAACTTTTTCCTAGAAAACTGATGTCGCTTCGGCGACATAGTCTAGGTCACCAGATTTGATCCCTTGCGACTTTTTCCTATGGGTGTATTAAGTCTCGCGTATACAGCAATTCGCCATCAATAGTAGAGGCTCTACAAGAAAATATCCGACGCGAAATTGCAGCTATCAGTCCAGAAATTTGCAAGCGAGTTTTCGTCAATATGAAAGAAAGATTGCAAGAATGTTTGCGGCTAGAAGGTTGTCATTTAAGTGAAGTGATTTATAAAATTTGAAATCCGCAGTATTTTTAAGTAAGATAATAAATAAATAAAATCTGCCAGCGGACACACTGTATTAACATTGGTTTTAAAAAAAATATTGAACATTTCTCAGATAATGAAACTATAGGCAAGATTCGAAAGATGAAACGTAAGTTTATCACGTTTCAGAAAAGTTTTTTTACCGTAACTTAACATTGAATTCGGAACATCCCGAAAAGATGTTGAAATTTATTCCTGCAGTTTAAAGCAGGTTGAACACCTGCTTTAAACTGCAGGAATAAATAAAGTTTAAAAAATGTAATGTTAAAAAACAAAAACTGATGATCCAGTTGCGAATCCATAAACTAAGAGCCAAGGCCTTTTTTTAAAAACTTTGACAAGATAAAGACGGCTTGATCACCATCAGCTTCGTTTGCCAGAAGAATTTCCCATTGCCAAAAGTGGCGGATCAATCTACTTATTATTCTAGGCAACTTTATCTGTACAACTTTACAGCATTAATAGGTCCTTCCCACTCAAAACTTAAAAAGGAAAATGTCATGGCATACATTTGGACTTCAAATCTTCGAATGAAATCTGCAGTGCATTATTCCACTGTTCTATTTCAATAGACACTAAAATTATAAATACCATTTGGTTAATGGCGGACGGATACGGAGACCAAAATAAAAATTAATTTCTCATCAGCATGGCAAGTAAATATCTAGGAGAGGCTCCATCGACATTATAAACCAGCCTTTCTCAAAGTGGGCGATAACGACCCCTTGTGGGCGTTGGAGACTTAGAGGGGGTGTTAAGAGCCCATAAAAAATGAGGGCGGGCGTTAGCGTGGTTTGGGGGGGGGGGGGGGGGAGCATGGATGACTTGGAATTTCATTTAGATACTTTATATTTTAAAATTTACTAAAATTAAAACCTACCTACTACTCCATATCGAATAATTAGTTTATATTTCTGCCCTGTATGATGGTATATAAACTAGAAATACTTAACATAGATTTCATAGCCTAGCCCGTATGCCGTACGCAATCAAGTTGTAACAAGTTTTTGTTCATTAATGCTATTAGTGCAATCCGGTAGCAATCGGCTGGTTCATCGATACTTGTCTTAACTTGCTCATTAAGCGTCGAAAGAGATAAACGAGTTTCTACGTGTTTGTCTTATACCTGTCGGCGTGCGCTGTATTTAAATCCTATATAAAAGCTCGTAATAATTTTTATATTTTTTATTGGTGGTTTGAAATCTTTAAACAAGTATTTAAGTTCAACACTTTTTTACATATTTATAAAAACAAAGCCATGTCGGAAGCAAAAAAAAAAGAGACAGCAATATAGTGCAGAATATATTAAATATGAATTCAAAGAAAATTCGACAAATCCGTCTTTGCCTTTGTGCTTTTTTGTTCAAAAACATTTTCAAACGAAGCGGTGAAGACTTCAATTCTTCAAGATCATTTGAATAAAATGCATCCAGATAAGAACAAAAATGTAGCCTATTTTCAAAACCTGGAAATGAAGCATAATGCTCAGCCAAGTGTATCAAAACTTTTTTCGGTGGCTGTTAATCAAGACGATGACGAACTTCGAGCTTCATACAATATCTATTTGTTAATTGCTCAAACAGGTAAACCACACATCAACGGAGAAACGTTAATTTTACCGGCAATAAAAGAAGTTATAACTACTGTGCTCCATAAACCGACGGCAGACGTAATTCTAAAAATTCCTTTGAGCAATAATTCTGTGCAAAGACGAATTGATGAAATGGCTGAAAACATTGAAGAGTCGTTGTGCAATCATCTGAAGACTAGTCAATTTTCAATTCAGTTGGATGAGTCCATTTTACCAACTAATGAAGCATTGTTGCTGTTTTTCGTGAGGTTTACTAAAGATGAAAAAATATGTCAAGAACTATTATTTGCTAGAAATTTAGAGACAGGAAGGAGAAACCATATTTAAAACACTGGAAGAATATTAGAATATTATAAGGAATATTATATCAGCTGCTACAGATGGTGCTCCAGCTATGACGTGGTGTCAAAAAGGCTTCGTAGCGTACTTAAAAACAACATTCCAGAAGTGCTTGCTGTATATTAAGTAATACATCGACAACATTTGGTTGCTAGAAATTTAAGTGAACGAATGTTTTAATCATTGCTCTTCGAGTGACTCTTTAAATGACAGATTTAAATAATCTGAAAAAAACTTAAATAATGAGCTTTGTGTTACTAATGATGAAGATTTCAACCGATTGATCTTTCATACAGAAGTGAGTTGGCGTCGATTTTACAATCTGTTTGAATCTGTCATAAAGTCAAATTGCGCGACAACCTCATCACATCAAACAATGATATCGCATACCTGACAGACCTTTATAAATTGCTTGATGATACGAGTCATAATCAAAAAAGTTGTACATATTTTCATATGGTACTCTCCTTTATGTGTCCTAGTAAATTTTTCGATTTTATTTTGCAAAAATAATATTGAATATTGTCCAAATTGTCTAACAATATACTAAATTAAACAATTCATTTGTAAACTGAGCAATTTTTTAACAATACTAGCCAAAAATACAATTTCATTTCATCAAAATCGCATAATTTACGAAAAAAATAACTGTCCTAAATTTATTTCAACTATTAAAAATCGTTTTACCAATGATGTGCTTTTATTCTGCTGACTTAAACAAGCTACATCAATTGAAAATGAATGGACCTATTGATTTCATGCTTTTTAATTGATACATGACTTGAATAACTATTAAAAAAGCGTGTAAAACTAAGTGTCCTATTCAATTGAACCATTTACTGACACTCATTTAATGACGCGAAATTCCACTTTTGCTTTTCAACAGAGCCGTGGTAGTTTTATGATATTAAATGCAGCAACATTGGCATGTATCATAGACAAGTTGCCATACTGCCGCCATTTTTGTTTTCGTGACAATCATATTTTCATATGGGTTCGGCGTGTGTGAAAAAAAAAGTGAGTAAGGAACATGTTACAATTTGCATTACATACGAAAAAAACTAATTCATGAGATAATATCCTGCCGAAGTTAATAATTTAACAATCTATAAAATTATAAGAAAAGTTAGGTTATGGCACCTCAATTTCTTGACACAATTTCATGACTTCCTGACGTCAGTAAATTGTAAAACATGGTTAGGCCGAGTTCACATGGCAAAAATGAAAATAATTATGGTATTTTTTCTACTGTTTTGTGTCAATATATTTTTTCTATCATTGCATCTGTATTGCATAATTTTAAAATGTTTAGCAAAAACGTTTATTCATTTATTTTGTGAATATACCTAAAAAACGCCACAAAAATAAAACATAATATTTCTTTATTTCATATCAAATATAAAAAATAATTAACGTGCTTCTTTATTTATTATACTGATTTATTTGTTTATTTTTATTTTGTTATACTGATTTTTTTGTAATTTTAGATGCCGTTAACTGGCGCAGAACGCCTGAATAGGAAATTGATCTCTTTTTAATAGTAAAATGCTGTAATTTGCTCAATCGACCTTTACTTGATCTCTAAATTTTACAACGACGACAGGTACAACATTTTTTAAACATACCTACACAGCTTACGGACTAATATTGGCATGAGAACTGCTAATATAATTTGACAGGCGCTTCAACATGCCCCCCGGCGTTGAAAGTCTACCTTTCAACCAGATTCTTCAGGTTCAGGAAGCGGACAAATTTTGCTAAATGATCGGCGAACTATACCAGTCGATGTTTTGATATCCGCCACCCTTGATACGCCGTCCGAGCCTGGATGGACTGCGACGATGCGACCCATCTTCCACTTTAATGGCGGTGAATTCTCCTCTTTTAGGAGTACCAGTGAATTTAACTTCAAAGAGCCTTTACAGGAACGCCATTTCATCCGCAGTTGAAGCTCTGATATATATTCCTTGCTCCATCTAGCCCAAAAATGTTGACGTAATTGTTCTATTCGTTGAAATCGGGTTAAAGAGCTTACGGAATGATCTTTATAGTCTGGTGTCGGCAAGGAAGTCAAGGGGCGTCCAACCAAAAAATGACCGGGCGTTAGTGGTAGCAAGTCTTCAGGATTCGTTGACAAAGGTGTGAGTGGTCTGGAGTTAAGTATAGCCTCAATTTGTATTAATGTGGTATTTAGTTCCTCGTAAGTCACATTACAATTGCCCAGCACTCTAACTAAATGATATTTAATGCATTTGACACCAGCCTCCGCAAGCCCAGCAAAATGGGGAGAATAAGGCGGTATGAAATGGAAATTAATTCCTTCATTTGCCATTACCTCAGATAAAGAATTACAATACGTCCTAATAAATTTTGAAATGTCATTGTATGCGCCTACAAAGGAGGTACCATTATCCGAATAAATATTAAGAGGTTTCCCTCTTCTAGACATAAATCTGCGCAAAGCTAATATGAAGGTATTGCTAGTTAAATCACCCACTAATTCAAGATGAATTGACTTAGTCGCGAAGCAAATAAAAATAGCTATATACACCTTTACAATTTTACAACCACGGCCATGGCGAGAAACAGATTGAATTGGTCCCGCATAGTCTAGTCCAATATTTTGAAATGGAAAACCAGAAAGGATGCGTTGGTGTGGTAGGTTGCCCATTATTGGAGAGATGGTTTTTCCTTTCATTCTATTACATCTTATACATTGTCGATAACAAGATCTGGCCAAATTACGACCTCTAATCGGCCAGTACAGCTCTCTTATAGTGGCCAACATTAGCTGTGGTCCCGCGTGCATTAACCTTATGTGCTCATAATTGAAGAGCAATTTGGTAAAATAATGAGTGGACTGTATAAGTATGGGATGTTTTTTCTCATAACAGTAATCGGAATTTTCAAGACGCCCTCCAACACGCATTATTTTATTATCATCGAGAAATACATTAAATTTATGCAACGGACTTTTAGTGGGTAAACTTTTATTTTTAATTAACATGGTGTATTCCTCAAATGATTCACTCTGGGATATTCTTATAATAACACTGAGTGCGGTTTGCAACTCTTGATTGCTTAGAGGACCGTGAACGGATTGCTTTCTACAATTATTAATAAAACGCAGCACATAAGCAACGGTCCGATTTAATCTAGTATATTTAGAAAAGCGTTTAAATTCAATTAATTTATTCCCACCTAAATCTTCATTGTTGCTAGAATGAAGTATTCCGTGGAGGATAACATTTGACGATTTAATCTCAGGCAACTCGTGATTAATACTTAAGAAATTTGCAGGCCAGTGAGAGACCTCTTTCTTTAAAAATTCAGGTCCTGACCACCACTTACTCATGGATGAAATATCCTTACAACTCACACCGCGAGAAATATGATCGGCCGGATTACACTCTGTTGGGACATGCCTCCACTCGCAATTTCCAGTCTTCTCTAATATTTCAGCAACCCTATTTCTGACAAAGGGTTGTAGCTTGCTAGGTAACACCTTTAACCATCCTAACACGATGGACGAATCTGTCCAAAAGAAAGTGCGCTTAGCCTGTTGTCTCAGCGATGCTACAACCTTTTGGTAAAGGCGAGCTCCAACAAGTGCACCACAAAGTTCCAGTCTTGGGATTGTTATAGGTTTAAGCGGCGCGACACGACTTTTCGCCATCAATAATTGAATTAAAACCTCACCCTGATCATTAACACTACGCACATATAAACAGGCGCCATATGCTCGCTCAGAAGCGTCCGAGAAAATATGAAATTCAAACCAACTAGGCGAGTCACAAATAACACGACGTGGAATACGTAGAGTATTTAATTTAGGTAAATCGACTATTATCTCAGCCCACATCTTGCTGATTTCTGGCGTCAACTGCTCATCCCATGACAGCTTGAGCAGCCACAACTGTTGAAGAAGCATTTTCATCTTAATTACACAGGGAGATAGAAGTCCTAGTGGATCAAAAATCTGAGAAATCACAGATAACATATCACGCTTTGTTCTACCTGAGAATAGCCCTCCTATAGGGAAACAAAGTTGGTCAGTATGTGATTGCCAACCAAGGCCTAAAGTTTTAGTCGGTTCAAAGCCACCAATATTCAAATCAAGCGGAGAAATATCATTTTCACTAACCAGTTGAGATTCATTCGACTTCCACTTTCGCAAAACCATATGAGCTGATGCAAGTGTGGAAGTCACTTTACGGCGCAAATCTGTAACCTCGTTAATATCATCCCCTCCCGTTAGCAAGTCATCAACGTAAAAATCGTGAATGATCACTTGAGCAACCTTGTCATCGGTAAACTCTAAGCCTAATTGTTGGAGGCACCTAGTTGCCAAAAAGGGAGCACTAGAGGTGCCGTAAGTCACGGTGTTAAGTTGATAAGCTTGAAGCTGTTCTGAAGGGTTATCACGCCAGACAATTTGTTGCAAATAGCGGTCATCGGGATGAATGACTATTTGCCGGTACATTTTCTCAACATCAGCTGTGAGAACGTATTTGTGTAGCCGAAAGCGTAAAAGAATGGACAAAAGGTCGTTCTGTACCACGGGACCTACCATCTGTATATTATTCAAGGAAACACCCGAAGAAGTCGGACTGCTAGCATTGAAAACGACTCTTAATTTAGTAGTAGTACTACTTTCCCGAAGCACACCGTGATGTGGTATAAAATGCATCTTACGTGGTAAATTATCATTCTCACATTTCTCCATATGACCCAGACTTTCATACTCTGACATAAATTCTTTATACATTTCATAGACCTGAGATTGACCTGCTAACCTGCGCTCTAGCGATAGTAAACACTTTTTAGCTCGTGGCCAAGAATCACCTAATACGTCAGGATTATGTTTTAAGGGTATCCTCACGCAAAATCGACCATTTGCCAGTCGCGTGGTGTTTTTTAAAAAGTGTTCTTCGCATAATTTTTCTTCGTTTGAATAAAGAGACGCAGGGCTTACCTCTTCGAGGTGCCAGAAGCGTACTAATTGTTTTTGTATATCTTCATCTAAATCTTTACTAGCCTCATCTTGAAATATTCTTGTAAAATTACATTTAATAAAGTTAACCCCTTTCTTTACATATCTATAATCTATCGGACCTGATACTAACCATCCTAAGCTAGTTTCACAAAGAATCGGCTGACCGTCCCCTAATTTCAATCTCTGCGTTCCTATTAAGTCCCAAAAGACATCAGCACCTATAAGCATGTCAACGGGAGCAGGTGAGTGAAAATTAGGATCTGCCAGAGAAATATTAGATGGAATTTTTAAGTTTGACAAATTAACATATCTAGTAGGTACATTTTGGGTTATTGATGGTAGGACAAAACAATGAAGATTACTAGAGAAGTTATCATTCAATGATTTTATCGATACCTTACAAATCTTCTTGATGTGTGCCGAAGCATTATTAATACCGACTACCGACTGATTTACATTTTGAGCGGGCAAACCTAGCCTTTGATATAACTCTTCAGTTATTAAACAAGCGTTACTGCCACTATCAAGAATAGCACGAGCAATATATGGACAACCATTCTTACCTATAACTTTAATTAATGCCGTCGATAACAATACGTCGCCTTGTTCACTACACGATGCAGTGCCTACCTTTGCGGATAATGACAGATGTGCGTTAGAATTGGATGACAACTGTGAGCCTGTCGAACTGTTTGTTTGTTCGAAATGACCTTGCATAACGGGCTTATTATTACCACTACTCGTGTTAGATGTATTAATATCTGTAATTGGTTTTGACTGGTAATCTGCGACGTGCACGAGAGTGTTATGCTTTCGGTGGCATATTTTGCATCCTGGCTTTTTGCAGTGATTTGCATAATGTCCTGAATTAAGACAATTGAAACATACTTTATACTCTGGCAGTAACTGTAGACGCACATCGTTACTTAATCCAAGAAACTGAGGACAACTGCTTAACTTATGGTCACCCTTACATTTAGGACACAGTTTGGCGGAAAAGGCCGAACCGTTTTTATTACCGGTATCCCGCACTGAAACCATTGCCTTAACTTTTGGAGCATATTTTATAGAAGAATTTAAACGGTTAGTAGCACCAGAATTAGACATTTCTAGTGTTTCGATTAAATCGGCTCGATTTTTTAAAAACATCAAAAATATATCGAACGTAATAGGTGTATCTTTCTCCAAACGACCTTTAGACTCTTCCCATTCACGATATGTCTTAGCATCTAATTTTTGAGTAATAATATGAATGAGAAGTGTGTCCCATTGTTTAGTTGGCTCACCGAGAGATTCTAGTGCACGTAAATTTTTATTTATTTGGTCAATAAGACGTTTTAAGTTGACAGACAATTCTTTATTAATTGGTGCTATATTAAATAAGGCTGTCACGTGATTTTGAATTAGTAGTCTTTTATTATCATATCTATCACATAATATAGTCCATGCGACGGTGTAATTAGCTGCCGAGAATTCGATTGACTGTATTACCACAGCAGCGGGCCCTTCCAACGACGCTCTCAGATAGTGAAACTTATTTATGTCATCTATCTCGTCATTTGAATGTATGAGGCTCATGAACGTGTCATGAAACTCTAACCAATTATCATAAGAACCATTAAATTTAGGTAGTTGAATAGTGGGCAGTTTAACAAATTTATGATTGCCGGAATGAGAGCCACCGTCACTGCTTACGTCATCTGACTTAATGCAATCTGCTAAGATCCTTTTTGCAAGAGAAAGCGATTTAAAATACAGGGATTCAAAATCAGTTCGTTCTGATATCTGGGCGTCTATATTATCAGTATTACACTCGATGGATAATTGTACCTCATCATATCGTTCATACATTGACTCAATCCTACTAATACGTAATTGCAACTCATTTACCCCAGTAGCAGCCAATGAAGATACCTTCAGTGAATTTAAATAATTTGAAAAAGCTGTTATTTGTCCCTTGTAACTAGCTCGTTTCCTAATTTGCTCCTTATCTTCTGGCATGCTGGCTGGTATTGGGAGACTAGTGCAAATGCCTGAAATTTATACAAACAAGAAGTTTATATTTTATAAAATATAATTCATAAGTAGTTTTATACAATTTTGCTTACAGTTGTAAAGAAATGAAAACTAATTCCCTTACTTATTTTTCAAACTCTTAAATAATTAAACAAAATGGTACATGTACTACCTTGATATTTAACTTTATAATTAACAACAATTAAGGGTAACAAATACAATTCAGACCATCAAACAGCTTCACAGGTATGCCTTAGTATGTAATAAATAATATTATGCAATTTTTTCAATTATACACTCTCTTGACTTATTTTTTTTTTAAAAAACAGTTTAAACCAATAAAGAGAAAAAAAAAATTATAATATCGTCAATATAATTTAACTAAGCTTTATAATTTGATTTAATCATGATTTGACGGTTATTAGAAACTATATAAAACAATATTAAATGAATTTTAGCCGATTAAATACTTTAAGTTATACGTAATTATTTTATAGGTAATTTGGTACTAACCTGATAAATTAGCAGTCGATTTACACAAAATACTACCTGATAATGAGTGCTGGGTTAAATAAATTAAATAATAGTCCAATATCTAAGGGGCTAAGACTCCAGATTTCTTGGTTAAATATCTTCACTCCCTCGGTGGTATTTCCACAACGAATATTTAAGACTTCCCAAGCGTATTCCACTAAATAATATCTTGTCCAATTACGTTTTTTCAAATCCGGCTCGAAGGACCATGAATAGGAAATTGATCTCTTTTTAATAGTAAAATGCTGTAATTTGCTCAATCGACCTTTACTTGATCTCTAAATTTTACAACGACGACAGGTACAACATTTTTTAAACATACCTACACAGCTTACGGACTAATATTGGCATGAGAACTGCTAATATAATTTGACAGGCGCTTCAACAACGCCAAAAACGGTATTTAGAACGGTTAAAAATAGAGCAACCGGAGAAGTATGAAGAAAAGCGAAAGAAACATCTTGATAAAATAAAACAGCGACAAAAGAAAATTGCAAATTTATCAGAGGAAGAAAAAACTAATTAAAGAAAAAAATGGCGTGAGGCAAATAAAAAAAGAAAAGATAAGAAACAGGAATTTTTACAAAAACAGAATGAGGAAAAACTAAAGAAAGGAGAGAAATTCGAGCCGCTTTATACAGAAGTAAATTAAAAATAGAGAATGAAGAACTTCGTAAAAATGTCAAAAACTTAATCGAAAAATTATTGCTCTTCAAAAGAAATTATACAATAAAACAGCGACAAAAGAAAATTGCAAATTTATCAGAGGAAGAAAAAACTAATTAAAGAAAAAAATGGCGTGAGGCAAATAAAAAAAGAAAAGATAAGAAACAGGAATTTTTACAAAAACAGAATGAGGAAAAACTAAAGAAAGGAGAGAAATTCGAGCCGCTTTATACAGAAGGAAATTAAAAATAGAGAATGAAGAACTTCGTAAAAATGTCAAAGAACTTAATCGAAAAATTATTGCTCTTCAAAAAAAATTATACCGTTGTAAGAAAAAGAATGAACATTTAAACAAATTAGTTAATGATCAAACAGATTTAAAGGATATGCAAGTATTGAGCAAACCGTTTTCAACTTATGATGAAGGATATACCAATAATGTGCAAACAGAAAGGACACCAGTTGCTACTCCGTTAAGCAAAACTATCTCTTTTATGGATTCTTTGTCATCACCAGTCCCAGATATCGATAAAAATATAATAAAGAAGAAAATTTTCGAGCTGAATGTATTATCAAATTATCTTGAATCACAATACAAGAATACTAACACAAATGTATCAAAAGCGCAAATAAAAAACATTGCTGATAACGAGGTTACCAAAAAGTATCGCATGAAATCCAATTTTTTACTGAAGTTAGGTCTCAAGGGAAGGATAAGGAATCGTCACGGGTCTAAAAACCCAAAAAACAGAATATTAGAACAATAGATTAAGAATTTTTTCCTTCGAGATGACATAAGCCGCTCTACAGCAGGGCGAAGTGAAACCAGGACTCGGAATAAGATAAAAATGCAGAAACGCTTTTTGACAGATACCATAGACAATATAAACAAAAAATATCAATCAGAAGGAGGAAAAGCATCTCGAACAACTTTTGGGCGATATAAGCTGTTTTATGTTATAAGCCCTAATGTGAATGACAGAAACACTTGCCTGTGCACAAAACATACAAATTTACAATTTAAACCAGATAAACTAAAAGCTTTAGGAATTCTGACAACAAACTCGCTGTCACAGCTTGTGAAGGAAGTTGCTTGTGACTGTAATTCCAAAATCTGCATGTAATAATAATAATAATAATAATAATTCTTTATTATCAAAAATAAATCACAAGAAATTTTATGAAGTCTCTGACTCCCAAACTAGACGAGTCTGTATCTTAGGTATCAGCGGCCTATCCCAGAGTTGTACTAAAAGAACAGGTAATACTAAAAAAAACTATGCATGATTTCATTGTTGAAACAAAAGAAAAGTAAATGCATGGTATTCTTCTTGTGAGTTTTGTAAAGACAAAATGCCTGAACTGAACACTGAAATTAATGACAAAAAGGAAAGACGTTGGTACCAATGGATTTTGAAAAATCATGAATATGTCAAAGGCAAACCGGGATGTTTAAAGACTATTGTCACCAAGAGATATACAAAAAATGAAATTACTGGAACTTTAGAAACTTTGGTAAAAAATTTCAAAGAAGAACTGAATATCTTTTTAACATAGTAACTCAAGCTTCAGCATTCAAAGTGTGCAGAGAAACGATAAAAGAAGATGAGATTACTATAATTTGTGATTTCTCAGAAAATTTCACGTGCAAAATGTCTGAAGAAATACAATCTGCTCATTTTGGCGCAAGCAAAAATCAATTTACTTTACACACAGGGGTGATTTATTTGCAAGGAAACAGTCCTATCTCATTTTGTACCATATCACCATCGCTTTCTCATGATCCTGGTGCGATTTGGGCTCATTTGAAACCGATCATTGAATACGCCAAGGAAAGATGTCAAATGGCACGAGTCATTCACTTTTTCTCCGATGGACCTTTGACCCAGTATCGCCAGAAAAAAAACTTTTATTTATTTAACAAAATTATTGGTGAAAGCATCTTTGATTACGGTACTCGGTCCTTTTTCGAAGCTGCGTATGGCAAAGGCCTTGCAGACGGCGTAGGTGGTGCCGTTAAAAGGAAGCTAGACCAATTGGTTGCTTATAAACATGATATACCATCTGCAGAAGCTGCATACGATCTACTGAAAAAGCAAGAAACTGAAGTAAAAATATTTTATGTTCCGGAAAAAGATATAACCGCTATCCAAAAAACAATACCTGATAACCTAATACCTCTGACAGGAACGATTCAAGTTCATCAGATAATTACACAAAACTGTGATGGGTCGATTTTTTATAGTGATGTAAGTTGTTATTGCGAATCTGAAAATAGGGGGCTTTGCAAATGTTATAAATATAAGAAAATACCAACTGATTCGTAAACAGGAAACCGTTACTAAAAAACGACCTGCAAAGGACCCTGAAAACAGGAATAATTCAGGCAAAAGAAAGAGAAATACGGACTCTACAGACACAGAAGTGGACTCTGATGTAACTTATGCTGAAACCAGTGAAAGTGAAGGATATGAGATAAGTGAAGATCTAAGCAGTGAAGATGAAAGAAAATGTACGGAGGTTTATGATAATAAGGAAAAGCTTAAGACAGAACAAAAAAGTAAGGAGAATATGTTCGTGGACAGAGAGATAACAGAAATGTAAGAAAGAAAAAATACTATTTCCAGAACAAACAATGAAAAAGAGAATAAAAGACTTAGACTTCATGAATCAAACTGTAACTTAATAACATCTCGCCATACAAATATAAAAATATTACGTGATATTGAGGTGGTCAATGTCCTAGACGAAAAAAGTGGACAATTTATAATAAAAGCAAACAAGAATGTAGTTGATGCCGTTTTCAAAGATGCTGAAATTCCTAAGATTGGAAATTTTATTCTTGCAAAATTTTATTCAAAACATTTAACGAAAATTTACAGATATGTATATTTAATCGAGGATATTTATGGAGACAGCATAGTTGTAAAAGAACTGAAATAAAAAAAAAAAGTAAAAACGTGTTTCGAATTGTTGAGGACGTTATCTCTATAATAGATTTTAAAGACATTATCGAATTTTTGCCTTACCCTAGTAAAGAAAGTTTATGATTATCATTCTACCGTGGGAGAAACGATCAAGCCCGCCAGTAAGTGGTACTTTCAATTAAGTAAAGTGAAAGGGGTCATTTTGAGAAGAGGGAAAAGAACACCCAACATATTGACAAGAGGTGAGATTTCGTACCAAGATGACACGGGGGTAGGCTAAAAGTATACTAGGGCGCACCAACTCATTTGTTTTACGCAAATGATTCCAGAACAAGTTCAGTTGCGAATTGCAGTCAATGAGTTGAAACTAAAAGATGTGAAAATTTTACTCATAAAACATTATGGCTTTGACTGGGCTAACATGAAAGAGTTGATATTTTACAAAAACGCCCTTGCTAGGGATCATAGGTAACTCGACATGCGAGACAGTGATGAGTGTTGTGAACATGAAATCGAAGAAATATTACATTTTGTTTGATAATTACGTTTCAACATAATTATCAAAACGCAAACTTAAAACTCAAAATAAGTAATCAAATTATTTTTAACAGAAACTAATATTTTCAATAATTAATAAATTAAATGGCCAAAAGGTATAACAATAAAGTACCAGAAAACTTCAAAGTAAAAAAGATGTGTTTTTGAGCCATTTTCAATTTTTGTTTTAATTTGGGCATTGGGAGTCCTCGGGTGTGTTCGACTTGTCTTCAGCTTAATAAAAATTAAAAACTATGCAAAATGATAGTGACAAAGCTATGCTAATGACTGAGAAAACAGTACACAAACGTAGAGCTAAAGAATTTTTCAATATGTTAGTAGAAGACTATTGTAAAAGAAAGATCCTTAATTTCGACTACCAGAAAAATATGCCACTGCCCAAAATACCAGACCAGAGTACCTACTATTTCCGTCAACTGTACTTTTACAATTTCACTATTGTGGAAGGTAACTCCAAATCAGCAATTAACAAAAGAAAATGTGTTCAATTATTGCTGGACAGAGGATGAATTTAGCAAAAGATGCAAATCTCATAGTATCTTCAGTTTACCATAAGCTTTGCAATACAGATTTTCGTCCAGAATCAAGTTCAACATATAGCTGATGGGTGGTCCGGTCAAAATAAGAATTCTATACATATAGCAATGCTCTCACGTTGGCTAACAAAACATGCACCAGCTCGAATACATCTGGTTAAAATAGTCTTCCCAGTTGTGAGACACTCATTTCTTCTGCCGGACAGAGTGTATGCTCGTATTGAAAAGGAGTTACGAAAAATTGAAAAGATAATCAAACTAAAAGCATACTTTAATGTAGTGGAATAACATTCTTCCGCCATAAACATTGCTATTACGGTTCAAGTACGCAATTGAAAAACCATCGTTAAAGAATTATTTATGATAACTACGAAATGGAGTTTACGATAGAAGAAAACTGGTGAGAAGATCAAAAACTTCACCAACGCTGCCGACTCTAGGACGAGCTTACCGGCAGACTTAAAGTTGGAGAGTATCCAGTTATGGAGGTGCGTTGTATACGTGGTCTATTTAAAAACGAGGCCGCAAACCGCCTCTCACAGTGATATTATTCGCTAAAAATCATTAGCGTTTTACGAAAAAACCTATAAGAATGCCAAATTTAATATGTATGGAATACGTTTGTTAAATATCATTGGAGAAAAATTGTCTAGTGACATGGCAGCCGTGGCTCCATTCGTCGGGAAGTTCAAGAAAATAGTAGATGACCTTAATAAAATAGTAAACGACCTTAATTTAACTCCACATTAAGTTTATAACGCCTTATGAAAGTGGCCTGTTTTGCAGTTTTACCTAACAAAATTTACGTCTACAGAATTGACTCAGAAGCTCCAGGCAGGAAAGTGTCTAAAGACAGGATCACTATTATACCCAGCGCAAACGCTAGTGGCACTCATAAGCTTAAAAACTAATGTTTATTGGAAAAGCATAGAATTCGAGTGCATTCAAAAATGTTAATCTTCCACTTCTTTATAGAATCATAACAAGGCATGGGTAACTAAAGAGTTATTCATAGATTGGTTTCACAATTATTTTGTGCCCGCGGTTCAGTGCGTAGCGTGCATGCAATGCGCGATTTGCGCGTCTAGATGTACTAGAGCGAGGTTACGTAAGCTTAGCAACACAAATTTCTATGATTAAACATTGATTTCTTTTAACACCAAACGTGGTTATTTAATTAACTATTCCAAAATTTGTATTTACCAAGACAAAATAGTAGTTGTATTTAGTAATTGTTAGTACAGTATAATGATACTTCGAAAACAAAGACTGGAACCCGATTGGACACCTACAATACTCGTACATAGTCGATTACACTCAACACATTTTAAATCAGAAGAATTATATGCAACCAGCAAAAGTTTAAAAAGGATAATGTAGGGGCACAATATAGATATATATAATATACTGGCTCTTTAGATCGCGTGTCCGGTGTGAAAGTGATGAGAAAATCTCTTCAACCACCTTATGATGGGCCCTATAGCGTCATAAGCAGGAGAGGGAAAACTTTTGTCATAAAAATAGGAGAAAAAGAAAGTACTATTTCTATGGATAGGTTAAAGCCCGCGCACATTCTGAACGAAAACGATTTAAGCAATAACATTAATTTTCGTGATGATAGTAGTAACGATAGTTTTATTAGCATAAATAACGCAGACGCTTCTAGCAAAGTTTTAATTCCAAAAACAACGCGATGTGGCCGCGTTATCAAGACGCCAGTACGTTTGGCATTGTAAGCTATTCTGTTCTAGGTAGAACGTGTCATCGTTACTTAGGATTAGTGGTTATGATTACAATTGTTTTAGGTTCGATTTCTGACCTACATCATTAATAAGTGTAACAACCTGTCAGTTTAATTTACTCAATTGTTTCTTTTATTAGTTGTTATGATTTAGGTAATATCTAGGTAATCCAATACAGTAATTAGAAAAATTCTAATTATATTTTTTAAGCTTTATTGTAGAACTCTAAAGAGCAAACTATATGTACTTACTATAATTAGCTGTAATAATATTTAGCAAACATTATACTTTAATGTGCACCTATCCTTATGCTACATAGTTGCGAGTTGCATAGCATGCATTTTGCAATAGATCAAAGTACGTAATTGCTAAGGTAACTTTTTAGTATTTTAGCATTTTAATTGTCATGTCATTGTTAATCATTATTAATGTAACATATAGAGACGATTTTTCGTATCTATATTCGTTCAAATTGCTTCATTGTAGCTAGACGTATATATCTAGAATTGCTCAAAAATGGGATGGAGTCAGAGCAAGGAGGAAAATACGAGCAACAGCCTAGTAGCTCAGACTGTCAACAATCATTCAGATTATTAGCTGGAATGTATCAGCTGGACGTTGACCGCACTGGTGATAGTGTTCGTCCTCGTAGTGGGGTACCTACTATGGCGCCGTTGCATACATGTAGTGAAAGGCTGAGTAATGAAGCAGAGCGTAGGCAATCCGACCATGGTGCGGGTGCAGGCGGTTCCCAACCAAGCCGCACCTATGCCTGCCGGTTTCGCGTAGTGTGTATACAAGTGCGAGTGTTAACCTAGTGTAAGTTAAGTGTTCTAAATCTTTGTGAAGGAGAGGAATGGTGTAGGGACACATATATTATATATATATATATATATATATATATATATATATATATATATATAATATACTGGCACTTTAGATCGCGTGTCCGGTGTCCTACATCATATCCATACTTATTTAAGTATAACAGCTATGTGTATGTGTAATATGTATAATAGTTATAGGTGTGGCGGCTGCGTCCGCCACGTTAGAAAGTAGTCGCAAATATATCTCCGTTTACACGACACGTGTCTTCATTTATTGCAACCTTAATTGTACACCTTAGTGAACTTAGCAAGGAATAAATGTATTAATTAATTAAACCAATACAGTATTCATAAGACTGTACAGATAACAGCAACAACTTTTAGGTATTTATGAATTTATTTTGTAAAATTCATTATGCATTTTCTTAAATCAAAAGTTATAAGAATAACATTTGATAAAAAGAAACTTATTAAAGAAAATAAAAATTTCAAGAGAAAAAATAGAAGACTCGAGGAACGGTGTGAATCACTAAAGGAGACAATGATTAAACTAAAGAAAGACCTACTCAATGTTTCTGAAGACCAATTTCAATAATTGTGTGTAAAGGCGGAAGAAGGCTGATTTGTTTGCAAGAATTAGTATACAAAGAAAGCACAGAAAAAACATAAGGATGAAATTCAGCCCACCTTTAAGAAAGTTTGCCCTGACTCTAAAGTTTTACTCTCCGGCGAGATAAAAGTTTGTGAAGACGCATTGACCCTCGAACGCTAGGAAAATGGTATGAAAATTAAAACGCAGAGCCAGGATTTACTGCTGAAGCGTTCGAGGTTCTTAAAAACAAAAATCCGGTTCCAACAAAAACATTTATTGTACATTACTCGTGGATGAAATGGCTATTCGACAACAAACCGTTTGGAATGGTAAAAAACTTGAAGTTTAGTCAATTACGGAACTGGAGGCTTAGATATTTTTTCGTTGTAGTACTCAGAGCTGACACTAAGTCAAACTTAATAAAAATTTGTTTAACTAACCTGTAAATTCTAATTTCTGAATACAATTAAGTTATGTTGATAGTATCCTGAGGGGGAGACCCTGGTGATCCGTAATACAGGCTTCCGCCTAGTACAGACACCAGACTCTCAGCCCATAGTGTACATTGTTTACAATCTACCTTGTTAACTTAAATTGTGAGAGTAAATAAAATATTACTAGCTGAAAAGGCAGACGTTGTTCTGCCCTTTTCGACGATCCTTCATATAAAAAATGCTTAAATTCGTAATAAAAAAATATTGAGTGTCACTTATCAGGATAAAAACTATCCTATCTCTCAAATTGCAACGAACTGCACAGAGTGTACAAAATTTCATTGAAATCAGTTCAGTAGTTTAGGAGTTCATCGCGGACAAACAATGTGACATGTAATTGTTATATACAAAGATTATTATAAATTAATGGTTTTTTTCGATATTTATTTGCTAACGCTAAACGCTACCACAACGTCGTTCATAATCATTAACATTCGGCGGCTAACGCGATTTCGCTCGCACAACTGCGCCGGCTCCTATTTCTATCCTTGTCTATCCGTAACTGTAATTTAGCGACTGTGATAACAAATGTGTAAAGTTTTGGTGCATGTAGTCGTGCCGCACGACTCGTGCGCCGAGCCCAGGATTAGTGAATGCGATATTAGTGCGTAACATATATCTTCCCCCTTTTAATATATTAATACTTAATAAAAAAGATTCAAGTGAATAGAAGTGCCTTTACTACTTCGTTTCGCTATATGCAAAGGGACGCCAGGGGAAGGAAAATGTTCGATAACGCTTCAGTTGCGCCCAGGGGGAGGAAAGTTGGTAGTAAAACTTTGAAATCTAAAATGTATGGAAACAGGCTCCATCTTTCAACGTTTCGCAAATGAAGCGTCTACAGCGCTATTATCTAGCACTGGCATTTGTTACTTACTGTTCCCGTATAAATCAGCCTTTAGCGCCATCATGCATCACGATCACGAGATTTAGTTTGTTAACCTAATAATTTTCTTTGTTCTTATTAATCTCTTTGTTACATTCCATTCATTACTGTTATTTCGTTCTTACGATGTCGTCGCGAAAAAAGATTTGTGTTTTTGGATGCGACGAATTAGGTAAGATATATTTGAAAACCTATATTTATACATATTGATAATTCAACGGATGCAGTCAACCTGTTTAAAATAATAAAAACAAATTGTGGAAAGGTTAGTTGCACTTACAATTTCACACTGTTATACTAACAGAACATTTTAATTTTCAGGTGCATATATGCATAGGTTCCCTCATCCCGCAAAGCGGGCTGACATGTTCCATTTATTTGGATGTCGAAATTTGGAAATAGATTAGAAAGAATAGAACCAATGAATAATTTCAATACAAAAAAGATATATGATTATCACTTTCAATTGAATTACAAAACTACAGGTCATCGTTTAACCATAACAGCTGTTCCAGCTTTGTATGTTGAAGGTAAGTTTTAAATTAAAAACAATATAATTAACATGTATATGTTTACATTGTAGAATTAAATTCTGTATGTAGGTGTCACATTGATCGAATGTGTATGTCGGGGGAAAATGATTTATATTCTATTCAAATTGCAGTAGAATCCGTTTACTATGACTCCGCCTATATTGATCAACCGCTTATTATGAAGTAATTACACAGTGAAGTTTGGTTTTCATATAAAATTCTTTATAAAAAAGTCGGATATAATGACCACGTTTATAGTGACATGTCGCTTATTGTGACCCATTTTTAATAAATTGTGTCAGGTTATAGTGACCGTCATGATTTCTAACAACTTCGGCAGTGTTTGGGAGAGTCACGTAATACCCGACGACGTTCGGCTCGTGCAGGGCTTTTTTGTTTTGAGTCTCAGTGGGTAATTAATAGATGAAGGTCACGCATTGTTTTAGTGATTTGTGTAAAAAATGACATCTCAACGTCGTAAAGAATTTACGATTGAGGAGAAAGGTACAATAATATGCAGATTAGAAAATGGAGAATCCAACTCATCTCTCGCGAGGGAATTTGGGGATGGTCATTCGACGATGTCAATGATTTTCAAAAACAATAACCAGATTAAGGAATCGTTCAATTCAAACGTTTTGAAACCGAAGAGGCTTCGAAAATCGCGATAGGAAAATGTTGATCAAGCGTTAATTCCGTGGTTTAAAATCACGAGAAACAAAAGAATACCCGTCAGAGGCCATATGTTACAGGATATAGCTTTTGCCGCGCGTTTTGGTATTCTTGACTTCAATTGTTCTGCGAGCTGGATAAGTCGTTTTAATGTTCGACATAACATTGTAGCGGGAAAAATCATCGGTGAATCTGTGTCTGTTGATCAAGATTCATCCACAAACTGGTTGACGTCTGTGGGGTCAAATCTACGACGACAATTTATGAGATTCTTAATGCAGATGAAACTGGATTATTTTACAAATTAATGCCGGACAGAACTTTAAAATTTAAAAAAAAGATGAGAATTGCAGTAGAGGCTAGTTGTCGAAAGACCGAATAACTGTCATGGTAGCAGCAAATATGAGCGGCACAGAGAAAAAGAAATTGCTCGTTATTGGAAAGTCACAAAACCCAAGATGTTTTAGCAGTTTTAAATCGTTGTCGATTACGCAAACAATCGTAAAGCTTGAATGACGTCAGAAATTTTCGAAAAATGGCTTCGAGATTGGGATCGCGATTTGGTGAAGAAAAAGAAAAAGATTTTATTACTGGTTGATAACTGCCCGGCACACCCCAAAGTTACTGATTTAAAGTCTATAACACTTGCTTTCCTTCCACCGAATACAACATCAGTCTTACAGCCAATGGATTAAGGAATAATACGATCACTCAAATGTAATTTTAGAAAGAATCTTGTGCTTAAAATGATTAATTACCTTGATACTAATGTAGACCACTCTTCTATAAAAATAACGGTGCTTGATACGAAATTGTTATGGTTAATGATGCTTGGAATAAAAAATCACAAAGTACAATTAACAACTGTTTCACACATGCATGATTCATTGAAAACCACGAAGGTTTACCTGTTCAAACATCAGAACATGAATTTGATGAAGATGACTTTTTTTTTACTACACTACTTTCGCCAAACTGCCCTGCAGTGTGGCGAAAGTAGTGTAAGAAATAACCGAATGTATTTTTGTATAATAAACAATAAAAAAAAAAACAATAAAAAGATGGCACGTTCCTTTATCTTTGTGGGTACGAAACCTAAATTCAGATTTCTTAGCAGCACCGGGAATGTGGGACGATTATGTTGACATCGATAGCGCTCTCGTCGTTTGAAATTTGGAGTCAATACTTCACTGATGCAATGCTCGATACAATTGTACTGCACACCAATAGAAAACTTCAATCTATCAGACCAAAATACAAAAAAAAACGATCATGTGTTCAACTTAAAGCATTTATAGGTTTGTTATTTTATACAGTTGTGTTCAAGGAAAACCGTGAATTGTATCAGTCATGGAGTAGTACGGATGGTACAGGCAGAGAAATATCGATGCATAATGAGCAAGAATCGATTCGAAGTTTTACTAAACGTTAGTCGATTTGACGATTCATTGACAAGAGAAACTCGTCGAGAAAGTGATCCGTCTGCGCCAATGTCTGATCTGTTCAATTCCTTTATCAAACAATGTCAAGATGTATAGTATCGGAAGTTATGCTTGTGTTGACGAAATGCTCGTTGCGTACCGCGGTAGGTGCCGTTTTAACATGTATTTGCCTAAAAAACCCGCCAAATATGGCATAAAAATAATGTGTCTCACTGATGCAAGTACAGGGTATATCCTTAATGCGTACATTTATACAGGAAAAAATTCCGATGGGTTAAACATATCTACCGAATATGCTCGGTATAAAAAAACCTACTCAACCTGTGCTTCGGTTTTCTTCATGTATTGAAGGAACAAACAGAAACATAACGGCAGGCAACTGGTTTACGTCTATTGCTTAGCTTGGTAATTGTTTGAAAGATAAACAACTGACACTAGTCGGCACAATGAGAAAGAATCAACGAGACATAACACCCCAGTTCTTGCCTTCGCGTCAGCGAAAGATTGTAACATCTCTCGTTGTTTTTACGAAACACATATCAATCGCATCTTTTGTATCAAAAATAAACAAAGCGGTCATTGTTATTTCAAGCATGCATCATACACCAGATGTAGATCAATCCACCAATAAACCAGAAATCATAATATTTTATAACGTTACCAAAATCGGAGTTGATTGTTTAGATCAAAGGTGCTCAAACTTTCGACGGGTCGCCGAACGCGCAGATGGCCACTTGTTATATTCTATAGATTACTGGATATATCAGCATCCAATTCGTATATGGTATACTTATTTATCCAATTGGAATATACAGAAACTCGTTTTCAATTCATTAAAACGCTTGCTGGACAGCTATCGAAACATGAAGCGTAGAGGGAAATTGACGACGATTCAGCGTAACATAAGACTTTCTCTTCGTCGAGTGATGAAACTAGACTAAGAAGCACTTCCTGAATTTGCAGGGTGTAGTGCTGATGTACCAGAAAAGTTAACAATAAACAAGTACTATTCTTTATGGCAAGGCTCAAGGATTTCGATTGTGTTAATCATGATACATTAATCAGGAAACTACAACATTACGGTGTAAAAAATTTGGCGCTTAAACTTATTACTTCATATTTAAGTAACAGAACTCAAAAAGTCGTCATTAATGGTAAATGTTCCTCCGGATCGGTAGTATCAATGGGCATTCCTCAGGGCTCGATTCTTGGCCCATTCCTGTTTTTAATCTATATTAATGACTTACCTTATCTTGTAGGGGACAATCACGATATAGTATTATTTGCTGACGATACCTCTTTAATTTTCAAACTGAAACGGCAGTCAATTAAATATGACGATGTAAATAATGCTCTATCGAAACTAGTACATTGGTTTAACGCCAACAATTTGCTCTTAAACGGCAATAAGACAAAATGTATTAAATTTACAATACCTAATGTAAAACATTTGAAAACTAATGTGCTCTTAAATGGGAGGAGTTGAGTCTTGTGGATACCACTGTTTTTCTTGGTATTACTATTGACGCGAAACTTCAATGGGGCCCCCATATATCTAAATTAGCAAGCAGACTTAGTTCTGCAGCATATGCTGTAAGAAAGATTAGAAGTCTCACAGATGTTGAGACAGCTAGGTTAGTGTATTTTAGTTACTTTCATAGCGTAATGTCTTATGGAATTTCGCTATGGGGTAATGCGACTGATATTGAAGCTATATTTGTTTTGCAAAAGAGAGCCGTACCGTCGATTTATAATCTAAATTGTAAAGAGACCCTCAGAGAAAAATTTAAAGAAATAAACATATTAACTTTGGCATCGCAATATATTTATGAAAATGTAATGTATGTACATAAAAACATAAATAGCTTTAATAAGAATAAGGATGTTCATACCTTAAACACTAGGAACAAACATAAGCTTGTAATGCCAGTTACTAGACTCCACAGAATTAGTAATTCATTTATGGGGCAATGTATACGCTTTTACAACAAAATCCCAGAACATGTTCAAAGTTTGTCAATAAACAAGTTTAAAAGTTTTATTAAAGAAAAATTTAATTAAAGAAACTGTACAAAAAGGGTTATTATAATATCAAGGAATACATGAATGAAAATAACCCCTGGGAATAAGGTGATCGCCACCATGCTGGTTCTATGAAAATTCATTTAAAATTGTATAAACAAAATTATTGTTAAGTGAAATTATGTTTAAAAAAAAGTCCTGCTGGGTTTCTTGCTGGTTCTTCCCAGGGCAGAGGTATTTTCCGAACCAGTGGTAAATAAAATAATGACTTTCAATAAGTATTATGTAATAATCCATATTGAATAAAAATCATTCTATTCTATTCTATGTAATCCACAAAAAAAAGTAAGACACAATACTTATGTTTCATGTGCAAGAAGCCCATTTGCCTGGAGTGCTCCCCCACATGACATGTATTTCCTATGTTAAAAAAATATAAAATTTGAGCATTGCAATTTTTTCTAAGTTTAATACGAAAAAAAGATATTAATAATAATGTTTTTTTATTTCAATTAGTCACCCCACACCATAGTTTTTTTTATAAATGTTCAAAGTAACGGAGTCTGTGAGACTCCAGATAGGTAGATATGTGTCTGAAATTAGGGGTAGGAAATTAAGAGTTAAATTTCAATTAAAGAAGTCTAAAAAAACAATAAAAGATTTTAGGACTCGTCTATCAAATGCAGAAAAAATGAGTAATCAAGTAGCATTTGAGAAGATCACCAAAAAGATGACATTTGCAGTGAAGGTATTCACAGGTAAATTGAAAAAAAGTATATTTTAATAAGTGTTATTTACAATCTGTATTGAATAAAAAAGTTTCTGTTTCTGTTTCATGCATGCGATTTCGCCAGACTTACAAGAAACCAAGGGGTCGTTGGTTCAGCTTAGATGAAAAAGTGACTTCACTAGCATTATATAAAAAGAGATAAAAGTCAGTGTTTGAATAAGTTCCATTATTTTCGAAAAATTGAAGGAAACTAATAGGGCTTAATGTAAAAGATCTCCTTTGCACACTCATATTTGATGAGAAGACAATCACTCCGCACATACATTATGATGCCACCAATAATAAATTAAAAGGTTTTGCCTATGGAGAAAAATTCAAAATCGCCAATCATGTACTAGTATTTATGATATAGGGCATTAAAACTAATTTTAAACAGCCTGTCTGTCGCTAACTATTTTACACAAAACCTCACTTATATAGAAGTAAAACAAATAATTATAGATGTACTAAAACATATACAGAGCACAGGGCTCAGTCTTATGCAGAGCATGCGATCAGAGTACTGTAAATGTCAGCGCAATTAACAGTTTAGTGCAAGATACTAAACAAAAGTACTTAAAAAATCTTAAAGAATGGAAAACAAGAAATTTTGAAATTAATAATCATAATAAATTATAATTTAATTTATATATAAACATAAAATATACCAAATATGATGTACCGCATTTGTTAAAAGGAATTAGACATAACATTCTAACAAAAGAAGCCGAACAGAAAAAGCCTTCTAAGCGAGAAGGTATTAATT